TTCTAGGTCTAATATGTTCTCCAGACTAGCAGTATGGAAATGTAATCAAAGATGTAATTAAGCAAAGAGTTTCAGGCTCAAGATTCATCTATTTGTCTATTGTATTTACATACCATAATTTTTTACCAGCTCTCCATAATATTTATATTCTTAACCTTTCAAAAGCTTCATATGAATGCAAGTTTGATAATAACTTTTCAAAGTTACTATAATGTGTAAAATGGGCTAGTGGCTCCTTACCAAGTGTGTTTAAATCAGGGCTCTTTGGGTGAAAATTTTCCCATTCTGCTCCTTGAGTCTAAGGGTGCTGGCCCTCTTTATGTCATTTTGTCAGTTTTTATAAGGTACATGTATACAATTATTGATGAAAGGTAGAAAACATAAACCATTATTGACAGCAAAATTAATATTCTGTGTAAAATGCAACAGCTGCTCTACATAACTAAAAAAAACATCAGAAAGTAATTAATTCCTATATAATCAACCAGGTTGAATATCTAGCTGGTAGCTTTGTTTACAATTCTTGACTTCATTTATACCAGGGTGTAGAAAACACAGAATTATTTCCTCACATAATTAGAATCAACTCAAAAAAGGCTTGAGAATATATTTCTAAGGCCCTATGTGAAGGTTTGGGGAAATGAGGCAATTTTTTACTTTTTATTTGTCCAATCACAATGCGGAGTCAAAATGGTAAGGGATGTACATGTCTTAATCACAGTGCCAGGCTTTTAAGGAGGATTTTACCTATCAGACTTTCCCAGATGACCCTTGAGGTGAACTGTTTTAAAAACTTAAATATACTAGTAGTAATGCATTGATTCTTTACAAAAGATATTTAATCATGCATGCCCTATGCATGTATTAAGATTCAATGCTATTGGTGTCACTCACTGGTATATTTTTTAAAGGAAAAAAAGCTTTTTTGAAATTTTATTTTAAATTGTTTTGCTTAGAGTTTCTTACACATTCAGTATATAGCATTGTTGTTTGGGGCATCAACAAAAGATAGAAAACTTTTATTAAAATATCTTCTTACCTGAAATTAAGAATCAGAACAAAGACATAAAATATTCAGTATTATCATGGGTGGTTCTTTTCAAAACTAATATAATTTATTTCCCTAGGTCAAAAATTGTTTTGGAAACTTTTTTTACCAACTTTACCATTGACTATGATGAATGATGAACTCCAGCTCTCTTTTGCCCCATGCTTTGTGAATACATTGCACAAAGGGGGATTATACATGCTATGCATTGGTTATGAATCACATTATTGACAGCTGTGGTTTTAGAAATCATTGATAAAAAAAGTAAAGGTTGGTTGTTCATCTCATTTAGAAACAAGTACACCAAACAACAAAGAAATCCGTTCTGAACTTGTACTTGATATATGCTAATTGGAAAAGCCTTATGCAACAATTGTGCCTTGAGGTAAAAAAATTGAAGCTAATTTGTAGTATAAGTACTGCAAGATCAAACTTCTATATATACATATATCTGTATATAGATAGAAAAAAAAGCTAAATTACACTGAAGATATAACTTCACTACTTTCACAGGACATTTTTAGCTCGACTATACGAAGTATATGGAGAGCTGTCCTACTCGCCCCGGCGTCGGCGTCTGCGTCCAGATTTTAGATTAAAGTTTTGGTGCAGTAAAATATTTTTCACTATAACTTTGTCATTTCTTAAGGTATCAACTTCAAACTTCAAATATATGTTCCTTATCATCAACCACATCTTATGTGACAAGATTCATAACTCTGGCACCAATATTTTCAGATTTATCTCCCCTTGAACTTAGAATTTTCCTTAAAAAATACTATTTTTTACTGTTACTTCTTTATTTCTTAAGGGATCAACCTCATACTTCAAATATATGTACCTTATCATCATCCCCATCTTATATGACAAGGTTCATAACTCTAGCACCAATATTTTCAGATTTATCTCCCCTTGAACTTAGAATTTTCCTCAAAAAGTACTATTTCTTACTGTTTCTTCTTTATTTCTTAAGGGATCAACCTCATACTTCAAATATATATTTACGTTTTTAACATCCCCATCTTATGTGACAAGGTTCATAACTCTAGCACCAATATTTGCAGATTTATCTCCCTTTGAACTTAGGATTTTCCATAAAAAATATTATTTTTTACTGTTACTTATTTATTTCTAAAGGGATCAACTTCATACTTCAAATATATTTAAGTTATCATCATCCACATCTTATGTGACAAGGTTCATAACTCTAGCACCAATATTGCAAGAATTATCTCCCCATAAACTTAGATTTTTTTACTAGAAAAATGTTATTTTTTATTATAACTTTTTTATTTTTAAAGGTATCTACCTCAAACTTCAAATACTTATTCCTTATCATCAATTACATTTTATGTGACAATGTTCATAAATCTTGAAGCAATATTTACACATTTATCTCTCTTTGAACTAAGTATTTTCTTTAAGAAATATAATAACTTCTTTACTTTTTAAGGTATCTACTTCAAACTTCATATTATATTTCTTATCATTACACAAATGTTGTGTGACAAGGTCCATAACTCTAGCATGACTATTTCTAGAATTATTCCCCTTGATCTTGGAATTTATGTTAACAAATATTATTTTTTTACTATAACTTAATACATAATTATACATAATTGATTTTTCTTTCATAGTTTTGTCCTCCTTACTGCGTCCAGTATTTTATTAGTCGAGCTTCGCTGTCTACTGTGACAGCTCTTGTTGAGGTATAGGCTTAAAACTGTGACCATCCCCACCATGGAAGTTTGCATAATTTTGCCGTTGATCTTATTTTTCCTTTCACACAGATTTCTTAGCTTATGTATGTTATAATATAAGTGTAATCTTTTTATTTAATAAAAGTCCTGTTTTTATTTATTTTTAGCTATTAAAGTGTGATGTCATGGTATGCTAAATTTTTTACTTAAGCAGATCTCTGATTGCTGCACATTTAAGTATACTGCAGAGTTAATTATTTTAAATTATGACAACTGTGAGCTTAAAAAACTGTCATTATCACTTGATTGATTTTGCTTATTTTCCAAATTTAATCTGTTTTTATATTTTTCTATTTCTACAGAATGTTCAAGTTGATCCTGCCCTTTTATCAAACATGCTTTAGAGAATATTTCAATTCATAGTGGTGCTAGTATAAAGTAAAATGTTTGCATGAGGGCAGTAGTTAGTAAATACTTAAGGTTTAAATTTAATCTTATAGTTTGTTGATATTGTAAATCAGGATGAATGTGAAGAGATTACAAGTAGCCTGGCTATCAGGCACCTCTATATATACACAATACAACTTTACTAACAAGGAATTACTGTAGAAGTCTTTTATACTCAACTACACAGGAATTAGTAAAGATAATTGCATGGTCAAATTTTGTTAGTCAATTTGAAAGTGTATTCAATTACTGGGGGTCAAAATATGTTGGCCTGAGAGGTCACTTTTGTTATGTTATGTACTTATATCTAAACCAGTAAGTATCTTTTTTTTGAAACTGAAAAGCCCAGAGCTTCAGGAAGTGACATGGCCTTATAGATTTCTCTGAACGATATATGCTTGTATATATTGAATTTCCCTTGGGTCAAAAAGTGCAAAAGGTGGGGAATTACATGTACATGAAAAACACATTTTAATGTTTTAATCAAGATTTTATGGGAATGTAAAACAATCATTAAGTACTAGTCACCAGGGAAATAAATGCATATAAACAAAACCAGTAGTAAATTAAGTAGGCAGTAGTTGTGCTTAAAATTGCCCACCTGTTTCTACAAATAATTTACCAAGCAGTTGTAGACTATAGCTCAATTAGTAATCTTGTCAGGAAAGATAACAAGTTTTGGTAAATCTATGTAAGCTTTTAGGATAAATGTCTACTTTTCTGTCATTGTATTTCTTTTATCTATCCCACAAGAACAAGTATTACCAGTATATCTCATTTCTTAAAGTGGCCTAATTATCCCATCATTGGTTTCTGAAATGGCAAAATCAGGCATACTACCCAACATTTAGAGAAACTATTATAGTTAGTCATCATTTTTAGCAGTTTTCCTTAAATGTTCAGAAATATTTTCTACCTGAAAAAGGTCAGGTGATAGTTATTTAGTGGTAATGAATCTATCATCCTTTATTTTTTCAAATGATTTTATACAGTAACATAATTATGCAGTTAACCTTTTAGAAAATCTTCTGGGCCTGAGAAACTAGAAGTAGAATGAAAGGCACTATATTGTATTGAATGTGTCTTCGACTTGAAATGCACTGAGACTGCTGAGGTCTAGCCACTTGAGGTTCCTAACAAAATCAGTGCATTTAGTGCTTTGAATTTAGCAATAATTGTCTATCAGAAGTAGAATAAATACATTATTGTCGATCTTGTACAAGAGCTCTATGGCATAAAACATACATGAAAAAGTTTTTGGTCCAAAATTTTATATCTGTTATCAGGCTTTTGACACATGATTTATTCATAATATCACAGAGAAAAAAGCCAAGGGCGGTTTTCGACAGACATTATTTTGATATTTTTTATTTGGAGGTTGTTTCAGACTTTATGATGTTGCATTGATAACAAGATAAGATATGAATCAGAAGTTTGTGGGAAATTCATCTGAAAAAATAGTTGTTGTAGGAAGTATGATAAAACTGTCTGAACCTTCAATGATTAAAATACAGAAAATAATGCAAATTCAATTAAGAAGGATGATTTGTGGGTTCTTATAGTGGCTTATTTCTGCCATTTCATGTCTTCATGTCTTTGCCCCTCAAAAGTCAAAGTCTTTTATTGTGACTTTTGAGAGGTGAAGACACAATAAAAGGCTCACTTATTGAGTCTCAGCTTTCTACTTTTGAGGGCCCTGACACAAAGACACAATATTGATACTTTCCTCAAGTTTGATTTTATGGAAATATTTTTGCTCATCAGAAGGCTTGCAGCTCTCAGTAATTTGATCTGTGTATTTTCAGAATGAAGCAGAAGATCATGAATGTCAGTTGGATTTAGAAGATATTCTTAACTTTGATACAGATTCAGAAAGATTGCAATATGCACATGTAAGTATTGTTGCTTATTATGCTCCCCGAAAAAATTTCGGGGGAGCATATAGTCGCCGCCTTGTCCGTCCGTCCGTCCCCTTTTCTTGTCCGGGACATAACTTTGTAACAACAAAAGGTATCAACATGAAACTTTGTAGGTAGATAGATCTCATTGAGTAGAAGTGCAGTGCACAAGAACCGTTACTCTGTCTTGCCTAATTTTTGAATTATTCCCCTTTGTTTATTTTTACACTTTGAACTTTGTCCGGGACATAACTCTAAAAGGATAAGAGGTATCAACATGAAACTTTGTAGGTAGATAGATCTCATTGAGTAGAAGTGCAGTGCACAAGAACCGTAACTCTGCCTTGCCTAATTTTTGAATTATCCCCCTTTATTTATTTTACACTTTGAACTTTGTCCGGGACATAACTCTAAAAGTATAAGAGGTATCAACATGAAACTTTGTAGGTAGATAGATCTCATTGAGTAGAAGTGCAGTGCACAAGAACCGTAACTCTGCCTTGCCTAATTTTTGAATTATCCCCGTTTGTTTATTTTACACTTTGAACTTTGTCTGGGACATAACTCTAAAAGTATAAGAAGTATCAACATGAAACTTTGTAGGTAGATAGATCTCATTGAGTAGGTGTGCAGTGCACAAGAACCGTAACTGCCTTGCCTAATTTTTGAATTATCCCCCTTTGTTTATTTTACACTTTGAAATTTGTCCTGGACATAACTCTAAAAGTATAAGAGGTATCAACATGAAACTTTGTAGGTAGATAGATCTTATTGAGTAGGTGTGCAGTGCACAAGAACCGTAACTCTGCCTTGTTTAATCTTTGAATTATCCCCTTTTGTTTTACATTTTGAACTTTGTCCGGGACATAACTCTAAAAGTATAAGAGGTATCAACATGAAACTTTGTAGGTAGATAGATCTCATTGAGTAGAAGTGCAGTGCACAAGAACTGTAACTCTACCTTGTTTTTAATTATCCCCCTTTGTTTATTTTTACACTTTTAACTTTGTCCGGGACATAACTCTTAATGTATAAGAGATATCAACATGAAACTTTGTAGGTAGATAGATCTCATTGAGTAAGTTTGCAGTGCACAAGAACTGTTACACTGTCTTGCCTACTTTTGGAGTTATTGCCCTTTGTTCATTTTGACACTTTGAACTTTGTCTGGGACATTACTCTAAAATTATAAGAGATATCAACATGAAACTTTGTAGATAGATAGGTCTCATTGGGTGGAAGTGCAGTGCTTAAGAATCATTACTCTGCCTTGACTTATTTTGAAGTAATTGCCCTTTGTTTATTTTTACTTTTTGACTTTTGTCCTGGACATTATTTTAAAACTATTAGAGATATCAACATGAAACTTTGTAGGTAGCTAGATATAATTGGATAGAACTGCAACGCTTAAAGAACCTAAACAAAGCCTGGTCTAATTTTGGAGTTATTGCCCTTTGTTTATTTTTTTTATACTTTCCTGTGTCCAGAACCTTCTCGGGGAGCATCACCCGGTTCAACCGGTTCTTGTTGACAACAGTGAACACAACAATATATTGACATAAACCAAATGTTTACAAAAAGATGTAAAGCAATAATTGTATGTTTCCACTGACATTATTGTCCAGACACAGTTGTATTACTGAGTTAATCAGACAAGTACATTGTAACATACAGTTTTACTATTGTAACAAACTGTGTTGCAGTGAATTTAATCAAAGACATTGATTGTCTAGTGATATGAAAGCACCATAAAATACCTTTTTATGGCTGTACCAGTATTCAGAATATTGGCAATCAATCTGAAATAAAGGTCACATTTTCATTTAACACACCTGAGCAGAAAATGAGCTCTGGTTTAATGATGTCTGTTGTTGTTTTTTGTATAGTTTAGCTTTTGACCAAACTTTCCTTAAATGGTCCTCTACTGAATTACATAATTCACAAATAGGTTATTGATTCCTAAAATAAAGTTCAAAAGAGAAACCATTAAAATCTTCTTGTCTGGATATACAATGCCCAGAGTGGCCAGAAGTCAGACATTTTAAATGTAGTATGCTACAAAATTGATATGACTTAAGCTCTGGGGTCAAAATAAGTCCTGTTCAATGGGTGTTCAAGTTTATGTGTAGAGTTCATACAATAGGAAAAGCAAAAAATCATCCTTTCTGAAACTAAATTGCCGAGAGTTTAGAAATCTATATAGCATTGCCCTACCCTAGGTACTACTTGTTTCAAATATAGTAAAATGCTGACAGATCTCTTAAACTATGAAGTAGGAGGATGGATATTTTAGATGTATGTTTGTCTGAAAGTCCTTACATAGGTTATAAATACATACATTCCCCTGAGTTCAATAATAGTCCTGCCCTATTGTAACTGTTGCCACATAAATGTATTGCTAGACTATGTTTTCTTTTGTTTTAAATATAGTAAACTACATAAGACATAGAGATAAGATATTTTTACATACAATGTATAGTTTCTTTTCTAGTGTTGATGAATTAATATGAATAATGACCAAGAAAAATGGGTCCTGCAATTATATTAAATATACTTATTACTTGTTTACTTAAATTTTTTTGTAAAAATCTCTATTTTCTAAAACTAAAGCATTAGATATACTGTATGAAGCAATATTGTGAAGATGGCACTTTGGTAAAAAATGACCCAACCTTTGGAAGTTTCTTATACTTAGATGAGCAATGTAGACTGAGTTGAACCTCTTGTTTAATATCCTAATAACTTACTTAATGGGAGCCTTCTGTAATATGCATTTACTTCAATCACATACATGTGCAGCTAGCTACGTGATAGTTAAATCATGGTGTAAAATCTTCTCTTTTGTGGGCAGTGATGCAGAAAATATGATTTATGAGGGGAGTTCACTTTTAAGTTGTTGTTAAAGCTGTTATATGTATCTAAATTGAATCAATGGTAATTTTTGTCTCTTTTCTGACATACCAAACTTGAGTACATTATATAAAATAGAAAGGGTGCATTCATTGATCAGAAACAGTAATGCATTTAAGCTATGCCACAAAAATTATACATGTTAACAAGCCACAAATATTTGCTACCATTTGATTTTTTTTAAGTTGTGTGGACTGACTGTAAGACGATGTAATTTTTAAGATAAAAATAAATTGTACATTGCATATTGAAATGAAATATTTCTATTTTTATTTTCAATTTAAAATTAGTAGTAAATAACTTTGATGTCCAACATGTCAGTGGCATTTTAGAATTGATTAACTTTCATGCATGTATTTTTATCAGTTATTTATATCAGGAAGTACGGAAAATATATGCGAGGAAATAAATGCATTGGTTACATAATAATTATGTTGGTTTGTATCAAGTCACGTTTAATTCTTAATCATAAGTTATAGGTGCGGGACACAGTTTGAAACATGAATTTCAATATTTAACTCATTGAAACGGAAAATTATTTATTTGTGGTTTATTTATGAATAATTAGTTGGTGAAGTTTGTTCACTGTGTATATGCATTTACTCAGAGAAGTAAAACATTTAAAGATTTATCATTTAAACAATTAAAATTGGCTTTGAAATTGTATACATTGTACATCAATAATTAAAAAGCTACATGTATATTTCATACATTAAAATTTAAATGATTTTCTTAAATGATAATTTATGTCCTGTAGTTGAATAGTTTTTGGTAGAATGGTTACATTTCTATTTTTATCGTACCCTAACCTGGAGGATATTATAATAATTTTGATAAAAAAAGATGCCCCCCTTTGTCAACATTCTTTTTGAAGATATATGACAGACATTTAAAACCTGTTAAGATAAAAACTACATGTAGTTTTAAAAAAACAACCAATGTACAGGCTCAAAAATTTTACCAAGCTGCAAAAGTAAAAATTAATTTAGCTAACAAATGTCTGCAAATGATTTTATTGTTCTTACAGAATTTTGAATACATACTGCATTAAAGTTGTTAGATAGTCTTATTCACAGACTTCAGCCAAATTGCCACAAAGGGCCAGAGTGACCTTAAAAAGTTGCACACACTACATAGTCCTTGATACTTCAACATAAATGTCTGTAGCATAATAATGTTTTGGATTAATTTGTAACTATAGCTTCATGGAAACAGTCCAAATGCCCACACGAAAATAGATATGGAAAATATTGAAATGGAAAATAACAAAAACATTTCATCCTTTCCACTTCTAAATTTATGTGACTCTGCATGTTGCCTTGTTTTGAACTTCGGCATATCCATTTAGTGGGATTTAGATGAGCTATGTAAACCTAGTAATCATGACAGATGGACAGTAGGCAGGCATGCCTGACTATGATAGTGGTTTAAAGTATTCTATTTTCACTGTACTGAATGCTGCTGATACCATGGTAGTTGGAACTTATAAAACTAGCCAACAAGTGCTTGAAGTATTTAAACATGTATGTAGAACGACTGACTGCCTGCTTTACTTGTATCAGGAAATCAAGATCAATATCATGCAGTAATGTCAATGAAATAGCACAGCAAGGGAATTTTAAATGGCATGTAATAATATAATTAAATATAGGCTATATATACTACATGTTAAAAAAAGTGTAGGCTCTAAGATTAGACATTACATGTACATTGTATTGAGGAGAAAAAAATATGATGAATGAAAAACTCTTTGCTGAGTGGTTAATTTCAATATGTGCAATGTGTTACAAGTGGCCTTTGCAACCAGTATAGTGCCGGTCTCGAGCCTTCACATCTGTGGCAGCAGTCTATACTGCCTCTATACTGTTGGTAGCTTAAGTTTTGTATTTTGATTTTAAAATCTATAAAATGAACTGTTCCAAATTCAAAACAGGACAATTCTATCATAAAAATTCAGAGGTTAGGGATCAAGATCTAAAGGAAATACTTTTACATTTTTTTGTTTTGTAAGGAGGAAAGTGTTATCCAAATACCTGATTCTACTTGAAATTTTGTTTACATAACAAAATCAATAACAATATAATAAATAGGTCAAGCAGATAAGATTTTATCTGATATTATTACAAAAGCACTATTTATGGGACTATTTTTAGTATCACTAAGATAAAATTATCATTTTAGGGACGGTTGGTGGTTCTGTTTTATGTTTCAAGTTGCTGGAAATGGTACCAAGGGAAATCTTGAGTCTTTCTGTACCTGTACATAGTTGGAAAGCTCTCAGTAAAGCTATCAGTGCTTACCCAGTCACTTTGTTTGTTGAACATTTGAAAAAACAAATGTATGAAAAATTTTATGGGTTGAAGGTACACATTTTCTTTCAGTAAATATGCTACTTTCTTTGTTTTTCAGGAAAATTTAACAGATGCTAAAAAACCTCCAGATATAGTAAATGTAAGTATATCTATTGACCAAAATTCTCAAAGTCTGTCTAACTAAAAAAGATTTCAGCTTAAAGTGCATTGTGATGTACAAACTATATTTTGTGTTGTTCAACTTCAAAAGTGCAGTAATATAGTTAATTTATAAATCGGAACAAAACACTATATAGTAATATGGTTTGTAGAATCACCATGTGTTTCTCTGATGATTATTCAAATTATGACATTGGGGATATAATGTCTTCAGTGGGTTCAACATTTTTACATAATCTCTAAAAAGAAAATTGTAGGTGTTGGCATGACAGGGGCTTCAGACTTGTATTTTAAAGATTGCTGGCTGTGTGAGCAGGTCCATGTGCAAGAAACTTTACATTCATTGCTTAGTACTGATTGGTTCCAGGAACGGATTTAAGAATGTTTTTATAAGCTAAGAGCTTCCTACATAATTGAACTGAAATAACTTCTGTATAACACAAAGTGAAAATTAAGTTAGATACCATATGGACAAAGGCCTTTCTTTATGTGATATTATGTACAATGGTCATCTTCTGATATTGTTAGCAGTCCATTAAATGACTCAATTTTCAACTATACAAAAAAATAAAATTTTGACTAGGAATCCATTTTGTACAAAATGTGACTTTGTGTGACCTTTGACATTGTTCTTCTATAGTAACTATGATGTTGTCTAGCAATAGCTCTCAGGTGAGCAAACTGAGGACAATGTAGCCCTCTTCACAACAGTTTACAATTCTTTGCCATTTTCACAGCACATTTTTGTTGCCATGGCTTAAGTTCAAGATTTTTTTATCTTAAGAGTTGAGGAAACATAAGTTAAATTAGAGAGCACTTTATTAAAAGATTATTAATTTTTGTTTTGCTAGGTGTGCTGCAGGGTTTGATATATTTTCCCTGGCAACCTGCTGAAATTTAATGTAATTATTGTAATCTGTAAAATCTACCTGTTTTTCATTAATGGATAAATCATAGTTACTAGAATATGAGGAAATGTTAAATGCATAATATATGACAGTGCATATTGTATGATTAATTTTTTCTTCCTTTATTTAAATCTTTATATAACTCCACACCATACAGGTGAGCAAAAAATGCACAGAGGTCCATCATCTGTTGTTCATTTTCCTTCTTTTCTGGTTATCCACGATTTCTTTAAATGTCAACACCTTTAATACCACATTGTGTATTTTGGTGTGTATAAAGAATTAGATTTTTAAAAGTCCTCTCCTTAAAAAAAACATAATGCCAAGAGTTTATATGAATGACCATATAGTACAACCTTGTAGCAGATTACAAAAGTGATTTAAATCATATCTCTGGGGTCAAAATTGGCCCATGGGTTTGGTTTCATTTATGGTAGATAGATAAATAGGGAAAACAATTTCTTGATCCTAATGTTATCTAGGGTAAAAAATACACATCATGTAGTCTTAAGGTAAAAAATCCTTATTATCACTAATTGTAAATTAGTTAGTTTAAATTATTAGTCAAGTTGAAATGTGGTTACCTTACTTTAAGGTTATTAAAGTTTTTTCTGAGTTCTATCATTCTCAAGTCTCGGGATTTTCATTGTTCACTGTACATTCTGTGACAGTTTCTGATCAATCAAATACTACATATGATCTGAATTGGAGCTTAGAGAATTTCTTGGGTCAAAAGTTATGGGTCTCTGGCTTACATTAATAGAGAACTTTGATTAATGTTGTAGAAGTCACATTGGGATTATGGTTTCTATGCCAGATTTGAATAAGAGTATTCAGGTGAAAAATAAGTTTCACAAAGAAAACTTGTTCTTTTCATCGTAAAGTTAAGCTTGTGCTAATTTGAGCATGGCATGAAAGAAGTAGTTTTCAGCTTGCTCCATCCTATATCCTGTCGTTTTTCATTTGCCTTCATTAAATGAATGGACAGATGTTGAATATGAATATTTATCAAGATTATTGATCACATTTTTCCATTTTTTGTGCCCCCACTTCAGGGGGGGGGGGGCATTTAGATTCACCCTTGTCTGTCCATCCATCCATCCGTCCATCCGTTCTCTTTTGTGTCACACGTAGCTCAAAAAGTATTTGACCTGGAGTCATGAAACTTTATAGAAATGTTGATCAGCATGTGTAGTTGTGCACCTGGGTATTTTTGTGTGGATATATTTAGTATTTTTAGAGTTAACACCCTTGACTTAGTAAAAATTTGCAATTTTCAACTTGTGTCGCACATATCTCAAAACGTATTTGACCTAGAGTCATGAAACCCTACAGGAATGTTGCTCAGCATGTGAAGTTGTGCACCTGGGGTTTGGCTTGTGGATTTTGTCAGAGTTATTGCCCTTGACTTAGTAAATATTTGCAATTTTCAACTTGTGTCACATGTAGCTCAAAAAGTATTTGACCCAGAGTCATGAAACTTTACAGGAATGTTGATCAGCATGTGTAGTTGTCCACCTGGGTATTTTCATGTAGATATGTTTTGTATTTTTAGAGTTATTGCCCTTGACTTTGTAAAAATTTATGATTTTCAACTTGTGTCGCACATATCTCATAAAGTATTTGACCTAGAGTCATGAAACTGTACAGAAATGTTGCTCAGCATGTGTAGTTGTGCACCTGGGGTTTCGCTTGTGGATTTATTCTGTTTTGTCAGATTTATTGCCCTTGACTTAGTGAAAACCGTTCCATTATGAGCTCGACTATACAAAGTATATGGAGAGCTGTCCTACTCGCCCTGGCATCGTCGTCTGCATCATGATTTCAGATTAACGTTTTGGTGCAGTAAAATATTTTTCACTATAACTTTGTCATTTCTTAAGGTATCAACTTCAAACTTCAAATATATGTTCCTTATCATCAACCACATCTTTTTAGATTTATCTCCCCTTGAACTTAAGGTCAAATATATGTACCTTATCATTAACCACATGTTATGTGACAAGGTTCATAACTCTAGCACCAATATTGCAAGAATTATCTCCCAATAAACTTTTTTTACTTGAAAAATGTTATTTTTTACTATAACTTTTTTAGTTTTAAAGGTATCTACCTCAAGTTTCAAATACTTATTCCTTATCAACAATTACATTTTATGTGACAAGGTTCATAACTCTTGAAGCAATATTTACAGATTTATCTCTCTTTGAACTTAGGATTTTATATAAGAAATATTATAACTTCTTTACTTGTTAAGGTATCTACTTCAAACTTCAAATATATATTTCTTATTTCTTAAGGTTCATAACTCTAGCATGACTATTTCCAGAATTATTCCCCTTGATCTTGGAATTTATGTTAACAATGTCATTTTCTTAATATAACTTAATTCATAATTATACATAATTGATTTTTCTTTCATAGTTTTGTCTTCCTTACTGTGTCCAGTTTTTTATTAGTCGAGCTTCGCTGTCTCCTGTGACAGCTCTTGTATTGTGTTTTTTGTTCCTTGAGTGCTTGAGTTAGAATCAACCAACTTTACAGGAATAATGATCAACATCACTGTAAAGCTATGCACCTGGGGTTTTGCATGTGGATTTTTTTTTAAGTTTTGTTAGAGTTATTGCCCTTGACTTTGCAATTTTCAACTTGTTCATGTATAACTCAAAAAATATTTGACCTGTAGGTCTGAAAGTTTACAAGAATGTTGGTCAGCCATGTACTTATGCACCTTGGGGTTTGCTTGTGGACTTATTCAGTATTTTTAAAGTTCTTGCCCTTGAAGTTTTTCCTAGTTTTCAACTTGTGGCACATGTAGCCTAAAACATATTTGACCTAAAATCATAAGATTGACAAAACAGTGGAGGGGCACTCGTGTCCTATGGACACATTTCTAGTTGCTATTGTTTTTTTTTTAAGTTTGGGGTGAGTGTGTGTGTGAAATGTAGACCATCATAAATATCTTCTTTTTTATTTTCAGGGATTTATTCAAGAATTGCTACAGAAAGCAAAGACATTATAGACCTGCCATCATGTAACCTGATCTCACAAGATTGGTCAATTATCATACTCATTTCTGCACACACATTGGTCACATGATTGTCATGTGACCATGTCATTCAGGGATTCTATATATAGTATCATTTGAAATCTGATTGTCATTGTTACTGCATTGTTCCAAGTTGAGAGGAAACAAAAACAGGATATTATTGATGTCTCATGTTTCTACATATAGTAGCTGTCTCATCAGATTGCATATACTTACATCTATTTATATATATGTAGATATACAATTTAGTAAATGAGAACAGTAAAACGACTGGTCTCTATTCTTTTCTTCTTATCATAATTTTTATGGTTAAGTGTTCAGAAAAGTACCATTCATTTCTTTTTAGAAAGTTTTAGTAGAATTTTGTTTTCATCAGTCAAGTTCATTTTGTCTGTTATTTGAATGTGATACATGCTATTTTGGCACATGTAATTATGTTAGTTTTGTAGCATAACTGATTTTTCACATAGTTATTTTATGAAAATAATAGGCATACAGTGTATAGGCCAAAATTTGTTTAGGATCGGTACAAAATGTCACAGGGTGAAAAAATGTGCTGCCTGGCTGGGACTCTAACCGGGGTCCCTCAGAGTACAATTCCGCTGCTCTACTGACTGTGCTATCCGGTATCTTACACATCTTCTCCCCTATATAATGAACTGTTCTAAAACGTGACAAATGATGATTCTGTTTAGGTTTTGAAATTGCTTTGTATAACTTGTATAAAAGAAATAAAGTGGTACTGTATGTATTATATCTTTTTATCCCTAGATGAAAACAACTTTAAACAACATTGTCTGGTACTACAAATGTAAATAAAACTTAGTTTTAGACATATGAAATATATTTTTTCTTAAAAAAATTTTCTATTAAGAAGGGCTTTTTGTTGAAAAATAACATTTTCAAATAAAAAAAAAAACAAACAACAACAACATTGCACAGCATTTGTTTTATTTGATCAATATGTATGGCACAGATTTGATACAATGCCATTTTTTATCTTATATTTACAGATAGGTCTGTTTTATACCTATTTACTCTGTCAATGTTTTATTACTGGTAATTCAGTGATTTTATAGGCTATGCAGATGTAGGAGAAAAAGATGAAAGCAAATTTATTGTGTCTTTATTTTTAATTGATTTGTGATACATTTTTTGAATGAGTATTTTAGTTGTTTGATTATACTAGTCACATGGAAAAATAATATGCCAGAAATGGTCAGCTCACTCGAGCACATAGTGCTTAAAAGTGAGTTTGTGTGTTCGGCTTGTGTCCGTTATTCATTGTTGTACATTACATGTCATTATCAACAATGTCTTAAGAAAAAATTTCTCAACCCCATTGATTGATCCTGACCATACTTCACAACAAACTCCACAAGAACAATCTGCAGAATGTCCATCTCTTAAAGTTACATAAATGGTCATGGTTGATAAATAGTCATGGGAGCTTAAAGAGTAAAATATAACATTGTTACATGTACATGCCCTAGCATGTCTTTTCTTTCATGTTGATTGAATTTTCTGTGAAAACAAATTTGAATTGTCTTGTCCAGAAAATGTCCTAGAGTTTATGTATCAAGTCTGGTGATTCTCTGTAAGTTGATCTTGTTCCGGGGGTAAAATAGCATGACTGTGGGGCCCTTTTGTTAAATAAACTTTTATTGGCAAAAAAGGTTTTTGAAATCTTCTCTTTGTGACACAAAATTTAAGAACTATTTTAAATATAGCCCTGATTTCTTGATTTATTGTTCTCTTTAAAAGATTTATGAATCAGACCAACAGGTCAAAATTGGCCTTGCTTTGGGGGGTTTTAATTGTATTTAGGTAGAATTTTATCTGCTAATGCTACATTAGTTTATGTATTAAGGTTAGAGCTTAGGTAAACACATGACATTATGTAGTAAACATCTACAAAAGTTATTCAGATAATGGCATGTGTGTCAAGAATAGCCCAACCCACTGTTACACTTTTGTTACATAGATTTGTAAAGTTGAAATGTTTCAATTCTTATTTTGTTCAATTCAAAAGCTTAAAGTCAATATGTTATAAGCCTACATTAGTTGGCCTCTACAAAAGTTATATGAAATCATGAACATGGCCCCCTATTTTTGGGAGCTTTTTGTCTACCTTTCCCAATCAGGTGAGTGATATAGGCCTACTATTTTGGGCCTTCTTTTGCTCTTAACAGAAGTTGTAGCATATAAGTGTGTGCACTTTTTAGCTCACCTGTAACAAAGTGACAGGGTGAGCTTTTGTGATCGCTTTTCGTCCGTCGTCCGTCCGTCCGTCGTCCGTCCGTAAACTTTTACTTTAAATGACATCTCCTCATAAACTACTAAGCCAATTTCATCCAAACTTCACAGGAATGTTCCTTTGGTGGTCACCTTTAAAAATTGTTCAAAGAATTTAATTCCATGCGGAACTCTGGTTGCCATGGCAACCTAAAGAAAAAACTTTAAATATCTTCTTTTAAAAAAACATAAGAGCTAGAGCTTAGATATTTGGCATGAAACATCTTCTAGTGAGTGTCTACCAAGTTTGTTCAAATAAAAGCCCTGGGGTCAAAATTGGCCCGCCCCGGGGGGGTCATTGATTTTCCCTATATGCATATAGTAAAAACTTAAAAAATCTTCTTTTAAAGAACCCAAAGAGCTAGAGCTAAGATATTTAGCATGAAACATGTTCTAATGGGTGTCTACCAAGTTTGTTCAAATAAAAGCCCTGGGGTCAAAATTGGCCCCGCCCCGGGGGGTCATTGATTTTCCCTATATGCATATAGTAAAAACTTAAAAAATCTTCTTTTAAAGAACTCAAAGAGCTATGGCTAAGATATTGAGCATCAAACATGTTCTAATAGGTGTCTACCAAGTTTGTTTCAAATAAAAGCCCTGGGGTCAAAATTGGCCCGGCCCCAGGGGGTCATTGATTTTTCCCTATATGCATATAGTAAAAAACTTAAAAATCTTCTTTTAAAGAACTCAAAGAGCTATGGCTAAGATATTTAGCATCAAACATGTTCTAATAGGTGTCTACCAAGTTTGTTCAAATAAAAGCCCTGGGGTCAAAATTGGCACCGCCCCGGGGGTCATTGAATTTTCTTTATATGTGTATAGCAAAAACTTAAAATCTTCTTTGAAAAAAACCCAAATAGCTAGAGTTTAGATATTAAGCATGAAACATCTTCTAGTAAGTGTCTACAAAGTTTGTTCAAATAAAAGCCCTGGGGTCAAAACTGGCCCGGCCCCAGTGGTGTCATTGTATTTAACTATATGTGTATAGTAAAAACTTTAAAAAAATCTTCTTTTAAAAAGAGCCCAATGAGGTAGAGCTTAGATGTTTAGCATGAAACATCTTCTTATTGGTGTTCTTCCAAGTTTGTGCAAATAAAAGCCCTTGGGTTAAATTGGCCCTGCAACGTTGGGGGGGGTGGGGGTTGGGGGGGGGGCCTATATACAGGTGAGCGACCTCAGGGCCATCATGGCCCTCTTGTTTTGAAATCCACACAATTTTTTGATTTATTGTATAATGAATGTAAATATACCCCAAACCCCATCACACAAAGTGGGGTGCTGTACATTATATAGGATTATTTTGTCTTGTCAGAATTGTTTTCAACTTACCTTTTACTTGCCTTGCAAAGAAGATTTGTAACATATTGGAGATATTTTTGCATTCAGTTTGTTTATTTGAGTCTGGAAAACAAGTTTTTATTATTATGATTTTATATTGAGACTTCCTTTTACGTGTTCAAGTATTTTTGTTGTTTCTATAGACAATTTATTATTCTATGCACATGCTTTACAGTATTTACACAAATATTTATTGGTCATAAAAATAATTTAAAGTATTAATTGATTTTTCATAAGACTTACTTTAACAATAAAACTGTTTATCTAACATAGAACATTGTATATTAACAATGAACAGTTTTATTAAATAAATCAAGAAGACTTAGGCATTCACAGTATTTTTAGCCTACCCATCTTGCCCCTACAACCCCCGACCCCCATCATACCTAGAAAAAATCGGGCTACTTTGGGATACATATGTTATTTACCAACACTCCATGTTATTATAATTCTGTATATTTGGGACTTTGTTATATAAATATCTATCATTTAAAACATGTATATGAAGTTTGCCTTTTTCAGGTGACTATGAGTGTGTATTCAAAGCAATAAAGACATTATAGTTAAAATTATATGTGTGACTATACATTTGTTTATGATTATTTACTAAAGTGATGCATGCTGATAAGAAGTTTATTGTTCTTCTTTTTAAATCACATTTTGCTTACATTGGCTAGGTTCAGTTTTACAATATACTATTATTTTGTGTTCTAATAAACAATTATTAAAGTTAAGTTGATTTCAGTAACTTAATAAAATTTTAAGGGTATTATTTGCTTATTTTATGCACATTTTTGATTCCACATTTTTCCACACTATTCAAGCTGCTGAAATTTGTCTTCCTTATAAAAATGCTTGCGATTTTGTAAGTCACATAAGCACACAATGTTGATGTTGAATATTTAGTATTGATGAATGTCTTTCATTTAAAAACAGTCTCTTTGTTAAATCCTTATCTAGAATACTAAGCTAACCCTACAGGAATTGTTTTTAGTTAACCATTGTATAGGACAAAATAGGACAAAAGCCCTGCAGTGCACAAATCATACAGGGTGGACAAAAACACTCTCATCAAATGTACAGGGTGGCCATCAAATTTACATGGTGGACATAATATCCATCAAATTTTCATGATGGACAAAATATCTATCCATGGCAGTCAATTCAGTGTTGTCAGAAATTGAACTACAGTTCTCAATTATAAATATGATAACATTATTTTACTGCACTAAATAAGTTAGTAATGTAATACACTTTAAGTTAAGTTTTAGGACTTCTCATATCTATAAAGTTCATCCACCTCTGTCAGGAGGGTTTATTCAGCAATATCAGTTTGCTTGCAGGCTGTTGGCCACCTGGGCATTTCATTTGAGTGCTTTTGTTCAGGGGGTGTTTTGTCCCATTAACACATTTCAGTCTATATAATAATGGTCATTCTTGTCAATTCCAAGTAGTAAAGATTTTTTTGGTAACATCTGCAGTTAATCTCATTCACATTCTATTTTATATTGATCATTATAACATTGGTGGTTTTAGAATCTAGGTTATATAATTGTCCTTGTACCATTGACTTCTGCATGTTTTATATTGTAATAGAAATAAAGTATTACCTTATACTAGAATCATTAGATATATTTGTGTTTTAGTTGAATTAAAATGGAACTTTAGAAATTTCCAAACAAAGAAAATGTCAGTATAGCAAAGATATTTAGATGAGCAAAGTAGAGATTACTTTATTGTTTTGTCCAGCACATGGACGTGTATTTTATTTAAAATTTAATTTTGGGTTTTATTTTCTTCACTGTATTATACATTATAAAACAACGCTCCAAAACTGTATGCTAGTATTATGTTTGTTTTGACATGTTTCCATTTTTGTAACATGTTTTTTTATGGAAAATCTAACGTGTGAAAAGTGTGTGATAGTGTAAAAACATTGAATGTAATTCCAGGAACTTGCAAAATAAACAATAAAATAAAGTAAGATATTTAAATGAGAGGGTTTGATGAATTATTTTATGTTGTCTTGATTTAGAATGTAATTTGTCTGCAATGTGATTAGTTAAAACTAAATATTCAGAATCAGTTATTAGTTTTTGATTTCAACAACGGTTCTCAAAAGTATATTCAAAGTTAACGCTAATGTTGATGTTCTATTTGCTTCTATACTTCTGAAAAAAAACAAGCAACTGACAGATCCTAATTAAGTCTAACATCCTTAGATAATTTTTCAAATAAATATGTCTTGTTAAATGTGAATAAAT